TCTTAAGCTATTGACATTGAAGACATCAATGTTCATATCATTTAGTGGCAAAAAAACTGATATTATCAGCAAAAGGTTATTTGTCTATCAATACGAAGCATTCATAATAGTCAATTAAGTGTATGTGATACTAAAAAAAATAGCTTTGTAATTCCTAAAATAACAAAGGTTTCACTATATTTATGAATTTTCTTTTAAGTTACCTTTTTTTTTTGCAGTGATAAAGATTGTTTACACCAAAGAATGCATAATGTTTTAGAGGCAATTTGTAGCTCAAAATATAAACGCTCAAATCAAGTGTATTTAAATAGCCCTACAATTTTGGAGTAAATGTATTAAGTTGATATCCGGTTACTGTAATGGATACTGTATAGTGGACATGTGCTGATAGATATTATATCTTACATGTTGTGATTCTTGTAGAATAGAAAATAGAAGCATGATAATGTTCTTCTTCTCTCCGTGTGTGTGCTTGTTTTATAGGAAATACATGATCTCCTTAAAATTGCTTTGCTAAGACAAACCTCAAACGGCTCAGATATACTTTAGAATAACTTTATAACTCACTTCTGTATATGCTAAATACTGTTTCAAATTAAAAGGAGCTCAATGATGCTAATGTTGGCGAATGGGAAATGTATATCTGGGTAAGGAACAAGAACAATAATTAACTTTAAAAAATGTAATTATGTTAGAGCCTAAGTGGTATATAATGTAAAACAACATAAAACATTTGCATTGACAAGTTCAATATCTTAGCTTTCTGAAATGTTATCATTAGAAAAGTATTAGATTATACAAAAGTGTATTATGAAGAAGCACTTCTTTTGTTTCAAAGTGTGAACATTTCCAAACCATGTCTGATGCAAGAATGCAGAAGCAGACGATGTTAGGGACACTTTTAACTGCATCAAATACAACGTAAATCATTCACTAATTCTACTTACACTAAATATTCTGCAGAGCTTATTGGGTAAGGATGGAAAGTAGTAAAAGAAGAAATTACATTATTTGAAAAGGAGAGGCATCTCAGTTAGAATAAACATGTCAGGGTTTTACGGTAACAGGTGCAACACTCAATGCTTTCCCAATGTGAGGAACAGAAAGAGAGTAACAAGCCCCGGGCTCCTCATATCTCTGTCAACCCTCAGCAGCACACATTCCTCCATGACAAACGAAGCATTAGAGCAGATTGAAGAGGTAGAAAAAAGAAAAAGATGAAGAGATAAGCTGTGTCGGAGTTGATGAGAAGAATCAGCCTTAAAGAAGAGAGACAAGAATCTTCTTTTATTTTCTTGACTTATTCACTGGCGTTTAAGAGTTTTAATTTGCATGATATTAAGGTTAAGGGTTTAAGCCTTGTAGAAAATGTTCTCAAGCAGTGAGGATACCATTTAGTGGTCAAAAAGTCGTAGGGGAAAGGAGGAGCAGGAAAAGTGTGTGAAAGGAAGAGTCAATGGGAGACAGGAAAAAGAGAAAGAGGAGTGGGAGGAGAGAGGTGATGAGAGAGCTTCTTCTCAGCAGCAGTCGTGCGTAGAGCCAGCGCTGATCTCTGTTTGTATGCAACCATGCATGGCTAGGTGCTCACATGCAAACGCACACAAACAGACACACAAACACACCAAAGCATCGGGACACTTGGGCCCAGGTTTCTGACTAGAAAGAGTGAGTTTCAAGGCATTAAAGGAAGTCGTTTGAACATCTCGTCACATCCATCCATCTTCCACTTCCCCATCGTTCCCACCCTGTCAGATCCAACCAGAGATCTCAATAGGGCCGTTTACACTTTTTACACAATCCGGCATGAAGGAGCTCAATGATAATCCCAATCGATCCTTGTGTAAGGTTTGTGTAAAAGAAATAAAGAAACCAGGTTCTCATATTGTCAGCATGGGTTAGTCAAAATCAAATCTGGTGACGCTTTTCTTTTTACAGGTTCATACGTTTCCGATAATTTCCTTTGAAGTTACACGGAAAATAACTCTGTATTGATATTCAATTATAAACAAAGCAGTAGCCTTTTTAAAAAGAAATACATGCTCAATATAAACCTGAACAAATATGTATTTATCATGAATTAATTATTAGAGACTTAAAGGTGGGGTAGGTCATTTTGGAGAAACCAGCTCGAGTGCGCTAGAATTTGAAAATACACTGCCAGAAAAAATCTGCTACTTCCTTACAGAGCCCCTCCTCCAACACACACGAACCGTGAAACGAACGTGCACATGACCAATGAGGGCTGACAGGCAGGTAGGACATCCAGTTATTTTAGCCGGCCCGGCTTCTACAGATGACATTTTTATGGATTTTTTGTCAAAGCACTTCAGATATTCATTGCTATCGGGATGTTACGAGCATTCCGTGGAATATAACAAAAAGTGTATCTCGAGCCGGTTTCTCAAACTTACCTACCCCACCTTTAATTCCCTATGCGTACATGTTTAAAAATGTTGAATTTTCAAATTACATTTTATTAAACTTTTTGGAAATTCCTAAGAAATGATCTGGTGATTGCAGCACCATTTTACATTTACATTTCTTCATCATAAAATGTCTAAAATATTACTTATTATCTTAATCATGATTCTATCTTTTTAGGGTTATTTTGTGAAGTAAAATTAATCAAAAACGTTCTTATTTTAACAGTAATCTTTTTTGCAGATGCTGCTTCTGTCAACATTTTCTTTTACACATTTTATATAACTTTATTTTTCTAAGAATATAGTAACTTTTGTTTCAGAACACATCTGTTTTAATGGTTGTCCCTGAGGGCCTTCTAGGATTAGTCCTGTGAGTGAATTGCAGAGAGAGAAACTGAGAGACTTGAGAGAGAATAGAAGCGTTTAACATTTTGATGTGTTAATGTCACAAACACTAATGAGGGACAGATCGAGAAAATATAGGAAAGAGAAAGAGAAAGATGAAAAGTAAAAACGGAGGTTAGAACATTTAGAAAGAGCAGGAGACACGTTTTAATTACTTCAATTCATTATAATTGTGGACATGTGTTGTACCTGCAAATAATGAAAGAAAAGGTGTGCCGTCTCACAGAAAGTCGAACTTCTTTCTCTTCTGATTCAGTGCCAACTTGCCCTTTGGGGTTTTGTGTCTGTGTGTGTTATATTTATGAGGGTGTGTGTGAGTGTGTGGGCAAGCTGCACAGCACGCACCCTTATGTTACTTACCACGCCAGATTCCCTCAGGTGCCGGCCGCAAGAAGTGCACAACACACACGTACACGCACACACACGAACAGATAAACAGCTACATGCAATTACAAATGTACTGTGTGTGTGTGTGTGTGTGTGTGTGTGCCTGCGCCTGCGTGTGTGTGTGTGTGTGTTTTTTTTAACTCAGTTAAATTGAAAGTTAACACTTCATCTTGTAGTCATAAGTCTCCGCTCATTTGAAAGGCTTGTTTTCTAATAACATATTCAATTAATATTGTACTTCTAACTCCACTACATGTGTTCATTCATATAAAGTAGAAATAATACAATACATTGTAATTTAATTAAAATTAATTAAATGTAATGTCATTATTGTAATAATTTAAAAAGTCCATCACAATTTCATTAAACTTTTCTTCAGCTGCACATATTGCACTACTACATTTCAAATGTTGATGAAGTGACAAAAAATGCATCAATAACAATAATATATATTATAAAATAAATCTGTGAAACAAAACCCAAAATAATACGTCTTTACTTCAACTTTAGGACAATTTGCATTCATGACTTTTACTTGTAATGGAGTATTTTTATATTGTACTTTCACGTTTTAAGCATATAGTAACTACTAATTATAAATGAGCACAGTCAAATTTCACCAAGTTTGAAATATTTTTTTTTTCACTATATATTTTTGGGTTTATTTAATACTGAGAACTAGAAATCAAATGCTACAAATAATGATTACCAATGGTAATAAAAGTTATCAACTGATGATAGAAATTCAAGAGAAGGCTTTAACATCAGGTTTCCCAAGAGCAGGCTGAACCGCTATAAGCACTCATTCCTACCTATGTCCATTAAGCTTCTTAACAGTCACATGTAGTGAAATGTAATGAAATGTACTTTTAAAATGTTGGCCATGAGGTTTGTGCAATAGGTCGCCATTGTCAATATGTGCGTCTGTGTATTGTGTTTGTTCAAACGGTGTATGAGTGCGATATGTGATATATTGTGTATGTATTTTATTGTTTACTATGTTTGTATATGTACATGCATGCGGAACTGCAGAGCGGAGTCCAGAACAAATTTCCTTACGGGGACAATAAAGTATATCGTATCGTATCGTAACATGTATTTAAATAAATAGCCAGATTTAAAAAGAAAAATAGCCTTTAATCTCCTGCAAAACATACAGGGAGAGCTATTTTTAATACAGTTAAATAATTGACAGTGGCTGCATTAATCTATATTCAAGAAACATCTTGATGATTCATTATTTGTTTTCTTAGACCCTTAATACACAAAATATTAAATTATTGTAACTTTTTCCCTTTATTTTGGTTGAAGAATCCCACCTCTAGCAGAAACAGCCCACCTCTCTTAAGCATTCACTGTATTTTGCATCTTTGATCCGTAGTAAATAAAGAAACCAAAACCTTTGCATGAAATGTAAATAAGGGGGAGAGTGAAAAATGATTCTGAAAAAGTATTAACATGTTAAAGCTGAGTCCCAGGACTCTCCTTCCTCTCTCAGAGTCATTACCAAACATTTCACACCTCTTGGATCCCCAATCTAACTCTTTTATTCTGCACCTAATGAGATTCAAAACCCTCCTGCCTCGGATTGTCTTGCAAAGTGTTCTCTTGGCTGCACACACTCATACACATGCAAGCCAGTTTCTCTCCAGCCTGTGAAGAGTTAATGATCCTACACCTGTCCCATCAGACACCTGTTTCACTCTCTCAGCCAATCACAGAAGAGAGGGAAACTCACTGCTTGCATGAAATAAATCTGGATCCCTGGCCAGAGGAAATCACAACACTTGACTCATCTGCGTGTCAGTGTTCTTCTCTGCTTGACTGATAGACTCACTGACTCAGAGGGAGGAGATCTCACACAAACAGCAAAGAGTAGAAACTAAAGGAATCTATTTCTGCTGACTTGGATTGGAGACATGACCAAAGAGACTGAGTAAGTTCTGTGAGGATTTATTTTTAATATTTCTTCTTAAAATAAGTGCATTTCAAGTTATTTTTGTCCACAAGATTAAGACACTCTGATAGACTTTGTGTTATAGAGTAAGATAGTTCATGGGGGTTTCTGTCCCCCCCCTTCCTCCTGTTTGCAATGAGAACCCCATGTGAAAGTTCCCAGTTTTAAGAAAGGGGTGTTTTGCAGCGTAAATTGATATGGATAATTCTAACACACACGCACACACACACATGGGGTCTGTGGTTGTAGTGGGTCTGTTTCGGCTTGTGTTGTCACTAACCTAAGGGGCCACAGAGCACAAAAGGACAACGGGAAATGAGAATCTCCTCTTGGGGTGTTGGACACAGACAGAGGGCAATGACAGCATGTATTGCATTGTATTACATAATGGAGAAATCCTAGACACGAGCCCCCCTCTCTGTCTGTTTAAAAACCTCTGCACCCGGCTGGTTTTAGGGGGAAATGGAGAGTAACTAAAGGAGTTGTGTGGTATTTACTGAGGCTGAGTGTGAAAGGGAGAGACAGGTGCATCTTAGAGCAGGTGTATGAGTTTGGTTTAGTATCTGTAGTTGAACTATCAAGTAAACTGACAACATAAACATATAATCTGGCTTCATAACAAATGTTAAAATCTACAGTATTCAATGCTTGAACACAGTGTTTCTAGTTTCACTTCCAGATGGGGTCTTCAAGCTAATCCTTGTGAGAAACCTCTGGATTTCTCTTTAAGCTGTGGCTCAGTTGTGGTTGTGAACACCTGTGGGCTTTCTGTCCTGTCAGCACATTTAATTAGCTGTTTATCCAGAGTAAACTGCAGCTATTTGTTCATTAGCTACTACAGACAAACTCCAAAGGGGGATTATCCCGGTAGGAAGGATATTTACAATCTGATGTCACTGCGAGTCTTTCCAAACAAACCCAATCCTCTGAATCCCCTCTTAGTTCTTTTGCAAGTGATTTGGAAAGCCCACCTCTTGTGGGTATTTATTTACTTAGTAAGACACTTGTCATCTCATTTGAGTTCTTTGCAAATAAGAGAGCTTATGAAGGATTCAAGAATGTCATTTTTTTTCCTTTCATAAAACAAGACACTACAAAACACTAGGTGTGTGTGTGTGTGTTTGGGGGGTTAAGAGGGCTGCTAGTGGGTGGCCCATGTTTTTTTAAACCTCATTTACAACACTGCTTTTGAGGGATGTTACTCAGCTCTGTGGTTTTGCAATCGAAACTCTCCATGCTCAGGGGCAAGTATGTGCAGTGCCCCGAGGCTCAGGTACTGCTCAACCCTGCATGTCAAATAAGCATTTTTAAATTAAAAAATGTCCTTAAGTACCTCAAGATAATTATACGTGTTTACCACTTTAAAGTAAATTATGATTTGTAAGTCAAACTGTCAATCTAATCAATCATTCTCAAATCTTTTTTTCCCCCTCTGCAGGACTCTGGGACTGGTCTTTCAGAGCGAGAACTTCAACTATAACCGTTACAATAACTACGCCATGGACTCCTGGCCCTACCTGGAGAGCCCAGTGCCCGAGCAGAACCACACCAAACCCAGACTCCACCCAGGAGACGACCTCACAGCCTTAACCATGCTTTATGAACAGTGCAAGGTAGATAATGTTGATATCGATAAACAAACCGTAACCCAACATTTACCCCAAGATGAATCCTATTGCCCTCGGACCATTTTGTAAATGGTATACATTTTGTTTTACAGAACCAGAAAGATCATAAGAATGTTTCCTGCCATCGTGGTGGCAACATCTGCAAAACAGAGAGGTAAGACACAAGTTTAAAAACTGGTGCTGTAAAATCATTTTTTACCGCATTTATAATTTGTTACACACTTTCTACCAAGTAAAGTGATTACCTTCATTGCAAAAAATAAAAATAAAACGATTAACATTTATTTCTATAACTTAAAGAAAAATAAATAAATGTTCCCTTATTATTTCCAACCCCTGTTGTCACTGATTACAATGTATTAGAGAGAGTGTAAAAAGAGAAAGGCAGGGCTTTGGGAGGCCATAAACATGTGAGTGGGTAATCCCCAAGTCAAACAGAGTGAGGGGGATTATTGTCTACCTCTCCAGCCCTTCCATCCATCCATCCTCTCTCTATCATCATCTCTGCTTTGCTTAAAGAGTTTCACAACAGGCAGACAAATGGTTGTGTTCCCTTCCTCTGTCCTCACTGAGCCCTCCATTCCTTGTTCAGTGGGTGAGAAATGGCCATTGTTGGGGCGCAGTGTTGTCCCCTCAAACATTTTGTACAGAGAAACTCAAACACAGAGAAGAAAAAAAGATGGATTAAGAGACAAATAGAACCCACCCCGACTCCAACCGCGTCTTTCCTGCGAGTTTACCTTGCAGTAGCTGTGTGTGCAGAACGTTTGCACAGGCTGTCTGCAGGCTTCTGTAATGTTTAACACACACCACTGTTAGTCACTCTAAGGCTGTTTGTTTCTTTGCTTTCTTGGTACCTGGGTGAAGTATTACCAATAGTCATGATGACCTCTCAAAAGCTGCTTCCCTGTTGTAATTCATCTTCTCCTTCCTCTTCTTTCTTCCAGGAGTCTAACCAATGATCTTGTTTCATTGGACGGGTCCGCCAACGTAATGAAGATCCTCTCTGAGAGTGGAACCTTGAGCCATCACCAAGATGTTTTGGGATCCAAGCAGAACGTCTCTATGCCCCTCTCTGTTCCCACCACCTCAGACACCTACGCCACCCTGACCAGCGTAGTGTCGGACACTTACGACAAACAGGAACTCAACATCATCTTCGATTCCCTGCTGACCGGTGCTTTCCCCGACCCCAACGCTGAGGTAATTTGATCCTCAAGTGAAAGCCAATGCTTCCCTCTTTTATTTGGCAATTCCTTCTCTCCTTTTTCCCTTTCATTAACAAAAAATATCCTTTTGTGCATTTCAGACTCTTCCCTACAGCGACGCCTTTACTGAAGATCAGCCCAGCCCGGTTTACTCCGGCTCCTACACTGATTCCCCACGGGAGAGGTTCAGGAGTGACTTCCGGTTCACCTTAGGATCTCCCATCGCTTCTTCTTACAAATCCAGTGAACTGCCCATGGTCTACTTGAACAAGGGACAGTTTTACCCCATTACTCTCTCAGGAGTGGACAGCAGCACCGGCCTCACCGCCACTAAAGTCAAGGTGAGTCACAGAAACACAGCATTTATTTTAATTTTTAGAAATAATAATCCTGAGATGTTGTTTTTTTCCTATGTGTAAGTTACATAAAAACATGGTGAATTATTTGCGTGCCATCAAGCTAACCCTTCCCAAATATCTGTCCCTCCCTTGGAGTTGGCTCCTCTGTGACTAATTCCCTGCTGACACCCTGCTCACTGGGGTGGTTCCATTAAAATGACAAGTGCTCTGCCCTGTATAATTTATTCCTGCGCTGGTGTAATGAGGCCAGAGTGCAGCGAATCAACAGCTCCTTAGGAGAGTGGGAAAAAAGAGGAGCGGACGAGGAGGAAGAGGGGGGTGGAAGGTGTGGTGTGGGTTTAATACATAGGTGACAACACTTTTTTCTTTGTCAGGTGACTTAGAGAAGACATATATACACAAAAGCACACCCGCTCACTGCAAACAACTCATGACAATGTGGGAGAAAAGAGGGATTCGGTTTGATACATGAATATAAAAGGAGATTTCTTGAAGAAGTATAAGCAGGTGAAAGAATAACACCTTCTTTTCTCCACTTCAGACTGTTGTGATGGCTGTGTTTGACAACGACAAAAGCCCAGAAATGCAGCTCCGCTTTTGGAATCACTGGCACGCACGTCAGCCGACAGCCAAGCAGAGGGTCATTGACATCGGTATGTTCCTCACACGAAAACATGCATGCAAACTCACTGTGCACCGGCAGTTTTCTGTCATGTATATCCCATTACATTATCTGATTAGACACCGGGAAAAAAAGTTTATTTAAGACGGAAAAGAATACTCAAAATGTTTTCGTTTTCTTTTATAGCGGACTACAAAGAAGTGTTCGACGGTGTTAGCAACATAGAGGAGGTAGCATTTAATGCTATCTCCTTTGTTTGGAACCCCAATGAAGAAGCCAAGGTAAACACAACACACACACACACACACACACACACACACACACACACACACACACACACACACACACACACACACACACACACACACAGGTATGCATAGATGTTTTTCATATAACTTGGCACCGCAAGGCCAGTTCTCTGAAAAGGGAAGGAACAGGTGGAGGATTTAAAAGAAAAGAGAGAAAAGGTTGAGAAGGGAGGTGGAGAGGAGAAGGAGCGGCTGAGGAGGGGAGGGGAGGAATCCTAGAAATGTGTTTGGCCCTGAGGCTCCTGTCACCACTGCCGCAAAAGCCACTGCGGCTTATTGGAGTTTCTCTGGCCCAAAGGCGCTGGGGCGGGGCCACCAAACCTGCTGCAGGTGGAAAGAAGCAGGAAGAGGGGAAATTATAGGCAGAAAATGTGATGATAAAGAGTATATAGACTGTTTACATTAAAAAAAGGGGAAATATAAGATGGTGAAATATGTAGATGACGGGAAAAGACAGCTGCAGTTTTTTTGGTATTCTTCATTCTATCTAATAATAAAAACAAACCTACTCCTATCTCCACAGGTGTTCATTGGCATCAACTCCCTAAGCACAGACTTCTCCGCTCAGAAAGGCGTGAAAGGCCAGCCTCTACACATCCAGATCGACACGTACGACTTCAGCTCGGGAACCAACCAGCTCCTACACAGAGCCGCCTGCCAGGTCAAGATTTTCTGTGATAAGGTATGTCGCTTTTGGCATTTCACTTCAAACACATTCTTTAACACAAACAAAAAACAACATATTGTGTGGCGTTTGTGGAGTCATATACGTAACCATGTGATTGTGTGTCCTCAGGGTGCAGAGAGAAAGATGCGTGATGAGGAGAGGAAGAGAAGCAAAAGGAGGGGACAGAAAGATTCTAACAGTGAGTGTTTGCAATAAGGATAATTCCCTATAGTAAACAAGCATTTCAAGAGAGTGTATTCTAACTTCTTCCATTTGTTTCCAGACAAGTCTTTAGTGAGCAGCTCCATGGGCAGCGAATGCACCTTCTTCCGAAGCCTGGAAGACCACATCACCCAGCCAGTCCTCTTCATTCCAGAAACACACCTCTCCAGCATACAGCGCATGGTAGGTCCTCCTCTCACTAATGGATATCCCCTCCCTCTGTGTTGAGTGAATCATGTTCCCGACCCCTGTATCCCTGCAGGCACGGGAGAGGCAGGGGAAAAAAAACGTGGGAAAGTATGTGGTGGGAAAAGTGGGCTGGGAGGGGAAAAAGACAGACTTTACATCAGATGAGCTAATTGGAGTCGAAACCAGGCACAACTGCAAGTCGCTACAGCTGCTGACACTGAGATTAAGCTATGGGGGCTTACACACACAAACACACACACCTGGTGCATCAGACACCTAACATACAGTGTGAGCCACCCTTATAGTGCCTGGTTTTTTCTCACACGTGCACACACACTTACAATAACAGTAAGGAGCTGTTCAGACAGGTCAGCTTTCCCACACTATGGGGTCTACACTGATGTGTGTGTACAGTAGAGGGAAAGCAATATATGTCATTTAAACATAACTCACCTGATTTAACAGTGAGCGAAACTGAAGAAAACAATGAATTGCAAAATAACGACATGATGCAATGCTCCACAGTCTGCGGCTAAGACAGAAAACTATTAAGCGTAGGACGGTCCTATCTGTGTCTCTCCATCAGTGTCCACGCTCATGTAGTTCTGTTAAGGGTTATGGGAAATTCAGTCTTGGGGAGAGATAACATTCCTCTATCTAGATATTGCGCACTGACAATGGTGGGAAAGGTGACTTTAAGCAATGCTTTTATCAGTAGGTTGGTCTCTAATCAGATCTCCTGTCTGCTTCTCTTTGTCTCTCCAGGCTCCACCAATGGATGAGAATGAAAGGTAAGCAAAGTGAACAACAATGCAAAAATGAACAGCTATCACAACCAGTTATTTCCAAATGCACACATTGTGGCTTTTAGTCTAATGTGAGCGTCTTTTGTTTGTTTTAGGAGTTCTATGAAGAGATCGTATTCAGACAGAGACCAGAACAGCTCTCCATCCACCAAGCAAGTCCGCAAGGAAGACTCACAAAGAGGTACATAGCAAACTAAAACGCTTATAAAAACGAAAAAGGTGCCATCAATTATGATCAAATTAGGTTTCCTTGTCTTTCAAGCTAAACGGTTTGTTCCTTTTCCTGATTTCCAATAGTTCTTCTGTACGTGAGGACATGCGCTGAAGAGGTGTTCGATGCGCTCATGCTCAAAACGCCAACACTGCTGGGCCTCCGAGAAGCTGTAAGTAACAAACACTGACTTCAAACAAATTCCATATTATCTGAGCACATTTCTGAGCTGGAGATAAACAGCACCTTTACCTCGTCTCTGTTGTTGCCTTCCAACAAACGCATAACTTCCCCGCATAGGATTAACTTTACTGTCGTTACCTGTCAAGTACGTCATCTTTCTTTCAGTGCGAGCTCATTGCTAACTGTTGTCTCCTTCCTCAGGTTTCAGAAAAGTACGGTATGCAAATAGACACCATTGGGAAAATCTACAAAAAATGCAAGAGAGGGTGAGTGTCTTTTTGTTTCTTTGGTATGTCTAAAATGGCTTAAACCAGTTCACTTGACAGACAATGAGCATAAATTCAGGGATTAGTTTGTGTTTTTAATCTGGTCCTGCTCTATGGAAGCGCATGTGGACAGACTGGGTAGGTAGGTTAGTTGGCTCGGCCTCCTGGAATGTGTTGCAGCTCCTCGGAAAGAAAGACGAATGACTAAGGGAGGATGAAAAGATTTCGAAAGCCCTGCAGATGAGTCATGAGGCAATTGTTGTATTTTGTATTTATGTTTTCATAACATCATCAAATCGGAACATCAGGAAGTATTTTGGTGTTGAAAGAGATAATGCTGACGGAAGGTTGTCCATCAAGTTGTGATCTTATTTTAAACTCATCAGCCAGACATTTAAAAAAAAAAAAAAAAAAAAAAAGGGTGGCACTGCAGAAGTACAGAAAAGGTTACCACAAAAAGATCTACTAAAAAGGATCATCAAAAGCAGCGTGTTATTTACAAAATGTTCGAATAATGCATTGGCTTTATCTCACGCCGTCAGTGCACTCAAACAGATAAGTCTGGCTCACCTCCTGTTAAATAACAAAGGTGATCAGGGGTGGTTTCTTGAGATGCAAACAGGACCTCCTGACAGACACTGAAACACCTTTTAGGTTACTTTCCTGCGGCTTCGTGCTTGCTGCTGGCAGCTATCACTGCAGGGGGAGCAGCTAGGCTAACAGGTTGGGTTACATTCTCCCCGCAGCTCCCTCCCTCCTCTTTTGCTCTTGTCTTCAATCAGCCCTGTCCCTGCAGGCAAAATGCACAAGCCTCTGTTTAGTTCAGTCATTAAAGACTTAAAGGTTATGATGGTGCTGGGAAGGAGGAAGAGAGTGACCTGATTTACAACTGATGCAGGAGATACTGCCACTTTGTTTTTGTACGAGATGTTTCCTCCCAACAAATCATATATTGTCTTTAACCAACAACAAGAACCCTTGTGACTTGTTTGTGTCACACTTGAGTAAAAAAGTGAGGCAGGTCACATTGTTGACGAGCTAGTTTTAAATCTTATTTATCTTGTCGTGAGATAGCGATCACTGAACTGACCTATTTCTTTTCGCTTGTCGTTTTCTTTTAGGATTTTTGTCCACATGGATGACAACATCATCCAACACTACACCAACCAGTCGGCCTTCCTCATTGAGATGTCAGATGTCGGCGGTCAGTTCCAGATCACCCTCGTTGAAGTATGAGAGCCAGCTGGCTCCGTTGAAGGATGTTAAATATCACAGCTGCCAGTTGAAACCATCTCTAATAGCACTGCTCGGTAAAAGACAATTTAAGCCGAGGACTTCTGAAACCAACTGGGCTAAAAAGACTCCAGTTTCTCCAATTTTTGTTGAAAACGTCAATACGTTTCTCGATGTTGTAAATACCACTACTCGCCCCATTATTTTGTTGTTTGTAACGTAAGAGAAATTATTATAAACAGCTTGTACATATATTGTATATAGATTTTAATATGACAGTGTTTTATGAACTATGTAAAGCATGTCGCAATCCATTTTCTACAAGTTGCTATGTATTTCAATTTTTTTTTACAGTACATGATTTGTGTACAGTGTATTTTCACCATTGTCAGAGGTTGCTATTCTTGTTGCTTTTATTGTATCCATCATTTCTTCCACAAGAACCAATGGTGCGTTTTCTCACCCACAACCTACTAATGAGGTTTTTTCACTGCCATAAGTATCTTCGTGTAGGTTCTTGTTAGTTTCATAACTAAAATGGCCCGACTTTGGGTTTAATTCAGAACCTAAGTCAGACATTTCCACCCATAAAACCACACAAAAGTTAGTATTGGCCATCAATTAGTCCTAGGTTGTGGACATTTCCTGCCTGTATGGTGCAACCGCAGAGGTTTCCTGAATAGTTTTAAATCCCCCAAAACCCCTGATACTATACTCATAGTATGCGTGTTTATGTGTGTGTGTTAAAAGTGTTTTCCCTTATACTGTACGTTACGCATCATTTCAAATCGTGCATGTATCCCTGTAATATTTCATTGTTGTAAAATTGCAGTTCTGGTTGTATTAGTCACATCTTGCCTCTTTTTTAAAGAAAATAAAGAAAATGCATAATACATTTTGGGTCTGACTCATTTCCATTATGCACACATATCTAATGGAAAGCTAGCAATTCACAGCCACAATCAATATTCACTATGACAAACTAAGGATAAGGGGCACTTCCTGTTTGTGTGTGTGTGTGTCCACAATTCAAATCATCTTCTCTTTTGATGTAAAGTACTAATTTGAAATATGCAACAAGCACTCTTCAGAGTAAAGAAAAGCATCTGAAGGAGGTGTATGTATGGGTCACTTTGCTGAAAGAGATGAGATGAACACACAAACAAATGACAATCCTTTGTTTTGTCACAGCTTTGTGTGCCGCAAAAAAGGGAAACACTCATATGTTGAAGTGTTGGCATATGCAGAAAAGCTCTCCCTATTTGGTAACACTGGCAGGGAAAAGCATCGAGGCACTCTGTCCAAGATATAACACAGATATACTCCAGCAAGTAGAATAGACACACACACACACCACACACCACACAACACACACACACACACACACACACACACACACACACACACACACGCAGAACCTGAGACAGAGAGGCAGACGACCCGGGAGGCAGCAATGCAAGCGGACAAAAGCAGGGACAGACACAAGGACAAACAAAGGCAGAGACGTGTGGGGAGACTGCTGAAGCGAGGACAAATGAGGAGGAAGAGAGAGCGAGAATAATGAAGAGGTGGTTGCACCATCTGCTGCCTGAGAGAGAAACATGTTAGCCATTCAGAGGGGAGCAGGGAGGCAGCCAGCGATCTGCAGTGAGATACCCCAACATCCCCTCCTGAATGGTAAGTGGCTGCCAGTGCATGGACTGCGTCTGTATGTGTGTTTGCATTCAAATGTGCCCGCATGAGAGAAAGTGTTGCTATTAACAACCCTACAGCATATTCATCATTTTCAATTCATGACAAGCCTCTGCGATGTTGTGCCACCCTGCAGATGTTTTTATAGCTCCCCTCTCACCAGCTCTGCAACAACAACCTCTGGTGAAGTCAATGCGTTTAGACGATAAGATGATAATGATTATTCTGCGTAGTGATACAAAGTGGAAACAGAGAGGATGTCCTGACTGCTGGGTCAAGTCTTCGATCCTCATGCGTGTCATCTAAAGTCAATACATTCTAGGAACACACGAGGAAATAATGCAATCAATCTTATTACAAGGTTGACATTTAAACTCTCCTAGATTTTTGCAGCATCCTTTGGTATTTTCATTTATTGTGGTATATATTCTGGTATGCCTCATTTAATCATGTATGTCTATTTTAAAACTGATACAAGCTTGATTGTCTTTGAAATTTTCATAATTAAAATAAATTGCATTTCCCACTGCACCTTGTAATGTGATTGATCGGTTTATATGTCATCCACTCTCCAGTGACATTTCCAGAAGTGAAATATCTAACCATCAATGAGATTGAATGTGCAAATATAATTCAGCTCAACATCCTCTCCATAGTGCACCAAATAAATACAAGCTGATATCTGGCTTACAAATTGGCGTTTTCCCCCCTTATCCATACACCATTTCTTTACTTAAACAGATTATTTATTATATGTCTTGCCAATATGTTATTCTAAATACAAAAACGGTTCAAACTCATGAATCAAATGGTTTCTTTTATACATTTTCTAAATTATTTATTCAGTACAGGGTCTGCGCCAATTCTGTATGTCCCAATCCAGCAGGATTTCTTTAATGTCTTGTAATGACTTTTTTTTATAACTAAAAGGAAGTTACTTTTTTCATTTTGTGGAAAGCACATGATCCTCTGGTGTCAAATATTCCAGTCATTAAAACTCAGCAGTTTGTGAGCGTATTCTTCAGATAAAGGGTACACTTCATTATTCAAGGCAGTGTAATGAAGTGTATATATGTATATGTATACAAAGTATAAAAAGGGATATTTACTGTACGTTATAGAGTTATTTACTTACTCACCAGTTCGAAACCCGCCGCCAAGACACTTCACCTGAATTTGCTCCTGTGGGTATTGTCCACAGTACATGACCGTTACATGTATGATATGTGTGTAATGTGCATTTGTAAAGCTCTTTGAGCATCTGGAAAAGCGCTATAATAAATGTAAGGAATTATATTATTATTGTTACCTATTACACTTAAGTTTTTATTCAAAACGTATTTCTTTTCACCGAATTACAAGTAATAATGGCTATATTTTAGGGTTGAAATAAAAAAGAAATGTAAGAAAATATTATTTATCCTTCCTTTATTTCTGGGTTTTGGTTTAAATAAAGATGTTGTGACTGTGACAGGGAAATAGAGGTTTATTTACATTATGGGCATTATCACACTATCAATGATGTGTGTGTGTGTTTGTTTGACAGAGATCATTGATTGTGGCTGCCTGTGTGCATGTGCGTCACACACTCAAGTTGTTCTGTCTCCGTCCCAGAGGGCATTGTTTTTCTCCAGTCAGAGACACCATAGTTGCACTCATTCTGCATTCAGACGCTGGCTGGACATAATTACTAACCAGGAAAATTTGATTAGAAGGTAATAGCTGGACATCAATTCAGTCAGGCTTTGAGAAAAAAACAACACACACAGATTCAGAAAAAAACACATGCTTTAACGTCAAGTCTGCCTTTGTCTGCGTACTCAAGGCAATCATGAATTGTATAAAGATGAGTTGAATCGGTATTATGATAAATAGAGCCACACTGTCAAGGTGTGACTGGCCTTGTTACTGTAACCTAGCAACAGAGACAGCTGCAACCGTTCAATATTTCTCCTGTCCAGCGAAGCCCAACCTCCTTCTGCTTCCTCCAGATGCTGATGTTTTCGTCTCTGCTCCGCTTCACACATATTTTGTGTCTTAAACCTCTACCTGTCTTCTCCATCACTTCCACCTGACACTCTCTGATGATCTCTTCCCTTTCACTCAGACGGTCACAATGAAGAGTCAGCAGCCAAAAGAGGGGAGAGTCTTGACGAAGAGGTAAGGTGTTATCTTCCATTTCTTTGGGCTTTTATTGTTCCGATCATTAATAATAATAATAATAATTCTTTCTATTTAGAGGAGCATTTCAAAGCACCCAAGGACACCAATACAATTTATAAAATATTCCAAGGAAACCGTAACAGGGAACATGTAGGGAAACAGGGGGGATCATTGCACTGTTAAAAGCTAAATTATATATTTTTGTGAGAGAAATATTTCAGTTTTGCAGTTATTTTTCTGGCAGTGTCTGGTCAAGGACATTTTTTGAAACACTCCAATAAATAACAGAAGAGATTGTGTCTTCGTTAACATCAACATTGTTGTTATCTTATCCTTTCTGAACAGATTTGCACTTCTCTAAGGGGACCAACGACACAGACACAAGCAGAATCCACTCTCCTCTAATTTTGGAAAATAATCTAGACCTGAGTACAGTTACAGCGGGAATATTTAATCCTGAATAATTAATTACATGACCTCAGATCTGTGCTAAAGAATCAGGGTTGCGATGCATACTCCAGCCTCCATGGTGATGGGGATTGTCTTCGCCCCTTTGGGATTGGTCCTGGTGTTCACTGCGGCCATCACCCCTCAGTGGAGAGAGGGACAGGCTCGTCTGGACGCTACAGGAGTCAAAGGTCAAGGGGTGGGGGTCAGGTCTGGGGCAGTGGAAGCTCTGCTGCTGCTGCGCTCTGATGGCCTCTGGGAGAGCTGCCTGCAGGTGGAGCACTCGGAGCTGAAGCAGTGCTGGCCTGTGTCGGGTCCGTACCAGAGGGACCCGAGGGTTCGCCTGACACAAGGTTTGATCCTGAGCTCGTTGTTCCTGTGCGGCACTGGCATCGTCCTGGCGTGTATCGGGGTCCGGTGCTGGACCGATATTCCCATGAGAGGTGTAGCAGCTACAGGGGGTTTCCTGGTGGTGACGGCCGGGCTGCTGAGCCTCACTGCTCTCGGGGTGTACACCCACAATCTGGCAAGACTGGGGATCAACTACCCCAGGTTCCCCCACCTCATCCTGCGTCCGGCGGGCTCACTCTACTTTGGGTGGTTGGGGTCTTGTTTACAGGTGGTGGGAGGCATTGCTCTGATGTTCAGCTTCAAACGAGCAAGATATACCTGCCCGGCCTGCCCGGAGCTGACCGTCTGTCCTGCATGCCGATCATGTCCCGAGATCACCAAGCATGACACGGAGGTATACGAAGTCAGCTGTTAGAGTATGAACCTCACACATCAATGACCTAAAGATCACATGGGTGAAAATGAGCAAATCTGGACAGGTGGGAACTTAATAAAGTAAATTCAAACTCATCAGCTGATAAATCTGCCAACTAACAAAATGAGTCAATTCAAAATGACTGGAAATGACCGCTCCATAATGGACTTGAATGTCAGATATGAGCAAGACGGATGTAATTGCCTCGTGATGTAGACAGAAACACAATCACAGAGTACATAATGTTACAAAAAACAAATAAGCTCAAGTTTTCAGCTGCCTTTCACTGTAGAGAAAACATGACTGAGGTATCTTTGTGCCGTATTTTACATTGTAGCCACGCTTTTGTACTGTTAGCAAGATATTTTTACTTGTAAATGTGACATATTTGTGATAAATAAAAAAATGCTGCTTAGATAATGTTAAGGCTTTGAATAAAGACAATTGATTAAACGTGTTTTAGACATTGTGAACTTTGAACGCTTGTTTTATCTGTACTTTGTAGTAAGTCACATTGATGAAAATCCCCTGTTTTTCTGGCAAATGTAGTTAATTGGACTGTAGAGAACAATCTTCAAAAATACATATTTTAGAAGTCAGGTAGACTTTAAGAACATCACAAATAATCTGTAGATTTCTCAGCCTTCCAGAGTAAATATTTGTAAAATACATCCACAAAGGACCCTTCATCTCTAGGGAATGTGATATTTGTCTTGATAACACAAACATTGAAGGGACTCTTCAATGTTTGTGTTATCAAGACAAATATCACATTGTTTGAGGAGGAGGAGGAGGAGGAGGAGGATGTACAACAGGGTGTTGTTTGTTCTTTGTATTGGTGTTAACTTGTCACAGTGTGTTCATACGTGGTGTATTCCACATTGAATAACACATTAAAAACCTAAATATCACTGTGTGCTGCCTCCTACTTTTTTACTTGCCATCAAGAGTAAAAGCAGATTAAGGTAAATACATTTAAAAAAAAACATCCCCCAACAAAGCTAACAGGTAAAAGGTCACCTCATGCACAGCGGACAAGGTCACTTCAGTGAATCATCAGAAAGAGCCCCATTATGTGAACACATCACGAGCTGATGGGCACTTATATAAATCAGTTGCAAACAACACCATTTAGCAAGTGAGTAACATAGAGCAATCTAATGCAGACCAGAAGTTCAATACAGTACATTTTGCACAATTATAAGGCAATTATGTTCACTAGTTGAGAAAACAAAGGACACTTAATGTAGGCAGGGACTGGAGTCATGCACTGCAAAGAAAAGGGATTAAACCATACAGTCAGAAAGAACATTCCACTTCACTTTGTCATTCAGTAAAACAAACTTTTTTCCTTTAAATTCTGTGTTTTTTTGCATAATTTGTGTTTGAGTATCCTAGAAACACATTCCAATACGAAAAAGAATTCAGACCCCTTTACTTTTACATTATATTAAGTTGCAACTTCTTGAGAAAATTGTTGAAATAATGGAAAAATCTCCAATAAACCCTATTAGTGAACCATTATTTATTAAAGACACTTTTATACTTTTTATCACAGGGGCCTCCAGATTCTCTTGATCAACTTTCAGACACGTTTTCTTGAGTGGAGTCCACCTGTGGGTAATTTAACTGATTGGACATGATTTGGAACAGCACACACCCACCTGTATGTAGGGATCATGTCCAGACACAGATCTGGGGAAGGCTGGAAAAAAGACGAGCTGCATTGAAGGTTCCCAAGTTCACAGTGGTCTCCATAGTTTGGAGAAACCATACTCCTCCAGTACAGAGATAAAGCTCTAAATGTCCAAGTAACATTTACATGTTTTTCTGGGAAAAACTTGCTGCAAACAAAATGAAAAATCCCTTCATCACTTTGTCATTAAGCATTGAGTGCAGATTGAAGAGGAACAAGCAGTATTTAAATCATTTTAGCAATAGGCTGCAACAAGTGTGAAGAATCTCTGAATGATTGTTGAATGCACTGTCAACAAATGTTCATGGACATACACATAAATGCACTTTATAATGTTCTCTGTCTTGCACTTAATCACATACACATATAGGGAACCACACACATGCTTTATCAAGGTTTGTCAGTCATTTCCCATTCAGTTATCCTGACAACCACAACACAAACTTCGCAACAGATTTCAGTGATCATCATTGCTCCCTTTTTATTAGGTTGATCGATGCCACAGTGAATAGGCCTCTCAGCGATTGAGGCGTCTTTTATTGTTTTGCTGCATTCGTGGCAGCCCTTGGCAATAAAGACACAGATCCAGAGCTGTCAAGCTGCTCTACTGTATGGTTCATACTGTGTGTCTTTACACGTATGTGGTGAAGTGCACTTTGTTCTCATATGGGAAAGAAGGCTGATCAAATGACAGAGACAAAAATATCATCTTAAGCAACAAGGGGCTACACCAAGGGTATTTCTGAAGCATAATGTTCTGTGCAAAATGTTTAAAATGGATACCTTTTATTAAGGTACTGTCAATAAACAAATACATACAGTATTTATAGTAAAACTGTATTTACATATCACATTACAAGAGTCTTGACTTATATTACAAATTCTCATTGAATTTTAAGAAAGTTCTACTTTCTATCATTAAGAGAACGAGACGGCTGTAGAATCGCATAAATACATACTGATTGACACTTGGCAAATTGTTCATTTTCTCTGTTGTAAACTTGACATATTTGTTTGTTGTGAGCAAGTCCAAATCTGCACTGATGCATTTCACTGACGTGCTTGATTAAAGTGCTGATTTATTGGCAATTTCGATCAATTCCTAACGTCAGCATAAGACACAGTCAAATCTCTCTGAACTGTTGCATGAAAAACCTCGTCCATTTGTCTGATTCTAGTAAAACATAGCAACTTTACAGTGATGAGACTGTTCAAGCGTGGGGTTAAATGTAGAAGTAGTTCTCGGCGGCTTCTCCGCTCTCCACCATTTCACTCAGCTTTTCGTTTATTGAATCCTGCAGCGACCCCAGAGAGAGTTCTAACACTGGACTGGGGCTGGGACAACCCAGTGGGTTCTCCAGGAGAACATCAGACGTTTCGGCGTCTACGAGCTGCTCCCCGTCGCTGAGGCTCAGTCTGTACGCGCCCTCTGTCTCCGAGGAGGCTGTTTCCTTATCGACAGTTTCCAAGGCAACCTCCTCAATGGGCGTGTCCTGCTCTGTTGTGCCCTCAGCTCCTTTGCTGGACTTGTGTGCGGCCAGTCTCTCAATTTCTTTCACCAGTTCCTCGTTGTTCTCCTTCCACTGACGATACGTAGAAGCTGACATATCTGAGTCCTCTAAGAGCTTGTTGATGTGCAGCAGCTCCACCTCTTTGGCCTGTAGAGGGAAAGAGCTTTGAGTGACCATGCACATATAAACAGGTATGAAAAAGATCCAGATTCTCACTACCTGAGCACAACAGACCTGCTGCACAAGAATGACATTGATAGGAGACAGAAAAGGAAAGTTAAGGTTTACAGCAAATCCTACAAAAAGATACAGATTTCCCCACCCAATCCTCATGGTAAGTTAGGTTGGAGTGCAAGAGTTTATTAGATTGTTTTCTTGTGAATGAATCATTGTACAATGTCAGAGTAATATTATAGAATAACTTATTATAAAATAACACAGTTAAAGGAGACACTTTGCATTTTTAATACTTTTCCTACTCCATCAAAAATGTTGATGCTTACACTTACATACTTTAACCAAAGTTACAAAAGTTTACTAAAAATGTTTCCAATTCCAGGACTTTTAATTGCACTGAAGTGTTTATGCAGTGTAGTATTTAAAAACAAAAAGTTGTTCAAGCACTGTAAAATGTGTGTAAATAAAACACGTCAAGCAGAAAGGAATCACTCTTATTTCCTTATCCTCCAGTCACACAGTTATTTCTAATGGGGAAATGCTAAATTAGCTGTATCTGTATTGTATTATTGTCAATACATTTAGTCAGTATGTCATTATATAGATTGTGTTTGAAGTGTAAGTGGATACACTCGCCACTCGCCGATGGCTTTTGAGCTCACCTTAAGAGTGCTCTGAAGTGCTCTGAGCGTGTGCGCCTTCTCATTGATGATGGGGTTCTTGTTGCGTCGAATAAACGATTTCCTGAAGTGGTCGTGTGTGAATGGCTGCTCTTTACCAATCAGAGAGACCCCTCCTTCCTTTATGTTGTTTAGCATCATGCCCATCTCATCCACTGGTCCTCCTTCTCACAGGGACGAAATCAAAGAAAGGGAATGAGAATGGAAGGAGAGATATGAAAACGTTAATTAAATCCAAAATATCACACTGGGGTTTGGTGTTGATTCGGCACAAACATCCTCAGGGTAAAGTCAAGAAAACAAGTCATGATGAAAATGAGTTTTCCACTTACATTATTAAAGCATCTATCAGAGTGACGCAGCCTTCACATATTCAAGAGATCATTGAATGAGAGAGAAAGAAAGAGCTGAGAGAGTTGAACAACACATACCTGTTCCTTTGCTGCCCCCTGTCACAGAACTGACTAATGGCACCTTGTTCGTCTTCCCCTTGGGGCGAGGCAGAGTGTGGGACTGCACTTTCTGAGACACACAATAAGACGTAAAATATTCTGAATGCTTCTTCAAATAGTGTGTGTTGTGTGCTTATGCATGTGTTGACTTCAACTGTACCGACCTTGTTTCTTCTACGAGGCGAAGGTGATGTCTCGCTTTCTGATTCAGTCTCACTGTAACATTCTGTTCACAAATAAACACAGGTGTTACATTACTTCAACAACCACAACACTTTATATCATAGTGTATTAGAGCATAAGGTTTTCGGATAAATGTGTCAAAAAAAGTGAAAGAATGTCACCACAGTCAACCTTTCTGATCATTTTTAATTGGCTAGTTACTGTACACTAAAATCAAATAATAAAACAGTAGGTTCCCAGTTAACCCTGCTTGTTAAAGATAATGTAATCATACATTCTAGGGCTACAAAAATGGATTCTCCTGATATGTATCTTTTCTCTCATGAATGACTATGATATGATTGAGGTGTCATGATGTTGGAGATTATGGTTTTGGAGCAGGAGACCCAATAATCATGCCCATTATTCTGGCACCAAAATAAAGGAATCCTCATCATTTATTTAGAAAACCCCAAATTGCAAGTCAGGCAAAATAGATTTTATACGCACCAAAAGGAATTGCAAGACATTTTGGGAGAGTAACACGACTAGAAGCATTTCTAAAGTTCAAACACAAGTAAAGAGATATGAATGTTTCCTAACCTTCTTCACTGTCTGGGCCCGTGTGAAACTTCTTGTGCTTGTGTATGGATGTGATCAGATAGTTGATCCACCTAAAGGCAAAAAAGAGAAGACACGCTTTATCAAAACAGACAAAGCAAATACAATTTATGTTTCAGTAATGCTTCGAGCTCAAAACAAACATCCTGAAAAACAATCTGTAGGGGGCAGTGCAGACCAGCACCTAGAGACTGATTCAACACCTTTACCTTACTCACAATTAATTAAGACAATTTGGGAGTTAGTCTAACATTATAAAGATGCAATTTAGAGCCGGGCATTTAAGAGATCTACTAATGGAGGCTACATGCTGCCTCTCTGGTCATCTGTTTAGGTTAAAGACAAAAAAAAGAGAATAACGCTTTTGTTTAACATTAATCCAACTTACTTGCTCATGTCCGTGACATTTTCAGCAGCAAAGAAGAAGTTGTGAAACCTCTGGTGGCACATTTTAAACACGCTAATGGAAAGAGAGAACAGAGAGGGAGAGAGTGAGGGAGGCAGAGACATGAAGCTCACAGAGAAAAAAAAACACATAATCAAATTATCTCCATGAATACAGATTCAGATAAAACAGGCACTTTTATGTAAAGGTTCATTTTAAAAATAGAAAGAAAAAAGCATCTGCACAGTTAACTGCATCACGTAAATCGATAAAGCCAGAACAGAACATCTATTGTGCACAGAAACAATAACTTTTTTGTTTCCTACCAACCCAGTGGCGCTAAAAAGATTAAAATACTTTTTGATTACTGCACTATATCCTTCATAATATCAACATAGTAAAAAGCTTATCAAAATGATCTTTTATTACGTTCATACTTACTATTTTCTCTTGTGCTCTCCAGCGCTTTCTATGCTGTAGCTGGCTATATTGACAAGACCCTCTGCCTTCTCATCCTGCAGAAAACACATACAAACACACAACTCGTAAAGTTATATGTAAGATTGGCTAAAGAAAATAAAACTAATATATTATTAATAAAATCTAAACTGTTGATTGAATCATTATACAACAAAATACCAAAAACAATATTGAAATGATCTTGGATGCTCTTTGTTTCAATGGTACAACTTGTTTTAATTGTTTCCGGTTAGATTAACTATTGTCATGGTTTTATTCCCACCTGTTGGGTGTTGTACCAATAAAGACACGGCCCCTTGAGGATGAACCAGAAGCGCTGCCACTTCTGGGCGATGAAGACGCTGCCCTCTCGTCTCTTCTTCCACAGCCAGCCGTCGCAGTCGGGACGGCCCAGCTCGCGGCAGGACACACGGCGCCGACTCATAGCCGTCGTCAATCCTGAGGAGGCCAAAAGAGTAGGGATAAGAGAAAAAGCAGGAAGATTTGCTTTCCCTTTCTTTTTTACAAACTATAAAAAAGGTCTCTTGCATTACAGAGAGCACCAGAAGTATGCAACAAAGGAACAGTGTTTCACGATACCCTTCATGTTATCCTTTTTTTCAATAACTATGTTCTTTCTAAAAATAGCACTCCAACTTGTTGATATTCCTCTTTTTATTTCTTATCAGCATGGCTTCTTTTAGTAGAACCATGTCCATTGTTTCCATGTTAAGTCCTGCGGGTAGATCCTTTAATCCTGAGTTAACATTTTCTAGAATCTTTAAAAAATACAGGTTTTCATATAATGCTCTTAAAGGACTATGCTTGGCTTTGCTTTGACATTGAATTGCTGTCTTCAATTCAGTGCAACCTAGTTTTGGTATTGATTTAAACTTAAATTCATATAGTATAACAGATTCAACTTTTACCTTTTGATGAAGTCTTGTTTGTGTCCTTATGGCCCTGAAAGAAAGCAGAGTATATTCTGTGTTCAAAGGTAGGTTAAAGAACATCCATAATGGGTCTCAACATGTTTAAAATGTCTAGCAGAATAGGTTTGAATGTATTTTTATTTTCCCTCTTACCGTGTGTCCCACCATTTCAGGGCAGGAACTGATGCTGGCTGTTTCCTGGTCGACTGCCAGAGGTGAAGAACTTCTGAATAACACAAAGGGAGAAGGACTTCTGGGTGAGGGAGACCGGTCTCGTCTTGGTCTTGGGGAGAGCCTTAAACTCTCAAAATCCCCTGAGGAACACACAGTGTCAATTCTACCATTTGTGTTGACAGTCAAGTGACAGAAAAACGATTTAACACACCATCATACTAACATTAATATGTGACATCAGTCAGCGATCCACATTAAGAAGTATTTAATACAACTGACTTCCTTGTATCTAGGCGACAAATCGTATTGGTGTGCACTGTACAAACAGAAGGTAAGACATCCCACTCAGTATTACTCCGACTGCTTTTCCATTAGGAGAGATGTTTGTGTTTTGTTGACATCCAACCCCTTTTAGGTCACAGTTTGAAATCCTTTTAATGTCACCGTAAATGCAAATTCAGTTCAGTTTATTAGAATATTGAAAAGCACCTACAATCCGAGGCTACAAAACTAAGAAAATCATACTTGTATCAACCGCCGTCTACACTGCTTACACTGAGATCTCAGAGCGAAAAGTATTTTCCAAATGGCGTTTTTATAGCAAACGTATGAAGGCTTTATCATCATGACCTGCAGAAGGTGTGTTTTGGTTGTCCTTCTTTACATTATTTAGCGTTCTTTCATATATTGAGAAGGCTTAAGCAGTAGATTATTTCATATCTCTTTACCAAAGAACACCAGTCTCTAAAAAAACACTCTGCTTTATGTTCCATTTAATATCCTATACGCTCTCGTATGTTTCTTACCTGAGGCGGACTGTGGTGACAGCCCTCCCTGGTGGCTTTGATATGAAGGGAGATTCAGAGTCCCATCCAGCTGACTGACAGAGGACAGGTGGCTTTGATGTGAAGGGAGATTCAGAGTCCCATCCAGCTGACTGACAGAGGACAGCTCTGATTCCTCGTGTCCCGCAGGCTGCTGATGAACCTCTGGCCCATGAATGGCTTTCCTGCAATGGAAAACACATGGAAAACCACTCACAGGCATTAAGGTGCCTCTTAAAAGCTTTGTCAGAGATGTGCCTGTGTTGTCTTCTATAAAAGGTGAAATATGGCTCTGTGCTTTATGTCAGTAGTCTAAAGTTGTTTTTCTTTCCCTAGACTGGAGTTAAAGTGTATCAGGATGTGACAGGATAATATACAACCTTAATGCAACATCCCCGCCTACTCCCTCCATTTGTCTGAGTACGCCTGCTCTCCATCAGCTCACACTGTCTCCTTTTGCCTCTCCATCACTCTCTATCCTCCCTTTTTTTAGCCTGCTTCTTTATTCCTTTATCTCTCCAAAAGTCCCTCATCTATTCATCTATCAGTTTATCTTTCCCTGTTCTCTCATTTCCAGTCAGCCGTGGGTTGAGGGTGTGTTTGATGGTGGAATTTATAGCGTTTGCAGTGTGACCTCATCGTAAACGTACCAGGTCCTGGCAGATTAATGAGGTCAAAAGGGCTTGAGGGAGGTTCAGCTCTATTGGGTCAATCCTTGGTAGTTTAGTGGACCAAACTAGAGTCCAATCAGCTATGAGATTTATAGTTATTACATCTAGAAACAGACTCGATTTTATGGATTATAGGGAAACTAAAGAAGAATGTATTTTGGATGAGAGACTCTGGGTACAGCAGGAAAGAAAGCGTCACGACTCCTGACTTTTCTCTGTGTTTTTTATATATCTGTTGTAATTTATTGTCTTTTATTGTGATTGTATTAATGTGTTTTTATGTGATTGTAGTATTTATTACATGTACAGCACTTTGGCCTGACCAAAATCGCTTTTAAATAAATACACTTTGATTTGATTTGATTTGAAAGCAATCATTTCATCCACTTTTCATTTGGCATATTTTGTTCATGTATGGTCTTATGTCCATTTACTTTATTCTGTGTTTATGATCTGACACGCCCCTCTCTCTGAGTGCCATTCAATTACAGTGGAGCTTACTTTATCAACCCATATAATTATCTTTCCAGGCCTCTTTGTTAGTGTTGTCAAGGTTTGATAGTGGAAAATCTGTGTTTTTGATAGTACCTTGATACAGATGTGTTGTGTTAGCTGACTAGTCGGAGTAGGTCTAAGTGCCTTGTTTAATTATTCTTGGCAACTTTAAAGGAAGCCTTGTATGGATTCTCTGCAATTTATTTAGCTTCCGCTTTTTCTCCAGTTTGGTAGTTATTTAGGCAGCTAGGCCTCCTTTAAAAAGCTATTGAAATCCACTTTGGTCCATGTAGGCAACCAGAGATATAAAAAGAACAAATAGAGTGACAGCTAATGTATGCTCTCACCTAAAGGACAGGGACCTGACGGAGGCTGCTACCCTCTCAAAGATGGAGTGCCTCGGGTTCTCCTCGTCCTCGTCCTCTTCCTCTTCCCCTTCTGACCTCTCTTCCTTCTCCTCTTCCTCCTTCTGCAAAAAAAAAAAGAGCATACATACGAATCTATGAGTGGGCTCTCTAAACTTCTAAACTGTGTTTATTCAGGGGTTAGTGGAGGGTAAGGAGGCGGATGTCATGTGGATTGTAATAGCAGCTTTCTCCTCAGGTCTCCGTCCACTCACTCTGTGGTTTGGGAGATGAGAAAACAACACACACACACACACACACACACACACACACACTTGGAGGTGGGCCCACCTGTCACTTTTTATGCATACTAATGTGATTGAAACAGCATTTTTTTTTTTCATTATACACCATAAGGCGCAACAGTGGGGGCTTTTCACACCTGTGAATACACATCACCCCCTCCTATCGACGGATCTCACAGCTACTTGGGATATCACACCTACTTGGGATATCACACCTCGAACAAAGGGAGGCGGGACTTAGCTCATTTGCACTATTGGGGGAGGTGTGACCTGTCACTTTTTTATGCATACTAATGAGACGAAAGCGGGATGAATATTACTACTATCTCCTAATCGATATAACCGGCCTGCTCTTGTCTATCCCAAATGCTCCACTGAGATCCAACATCTCGTTCCAGGGGGCCTGTGGAACTGGATAGACAAGAGCAGGCCGGTTATATCGATTAGGAGATAGTAGTAATATNATAGAAATACCTAATTTTGAGTTATTTAGACTTAATTAACACTTATAGTTCCATGTCTTATTACATAAGGATAGATCAAATTTGTTAAATGTTATTATGGGAGAATTAGTATTCTTGTGGTACTGCTGCCTTATTAGGCCCATATTGAGCAGAGCATATTAAGACCAAAACTCATGTACAACAACTTCCTTACTTGCAACAAATAAGCACTTATTAGAGGGTTATTGAGGAAAAACTCTCAACTAATGGCTTATTACTTGTAGAATATGGTCATGTAGAAAAATGCATTAATAAGTGTTTTATAATGACTTATAAAGAGCCAATATACTGCTAATATTCATGTTAATTAACAACTAGTTGATGGTTAATTTGTGTACCTTAATATAAAGTGTTACCGAAATTCCTAAATAATGCTGTGTGTTCACCTGGGTTCATATATTCTATTCTTTGACATAATATGTATTGAAACTCTCACTGAGGTTATTAATAAATCAGAATCCCTGCTTGCGCTTTCAAAGTCCTTCACATTCAAACTCGTCTGAAAAAATAAGATTGAAACCCTAAGTCCCTGCATGATTTTAAACCAATTTCCAAACTGCCCTTTTTTTCTACATTTCTGGATCAAGTTGTCTGAACAATCCATTTCTAAAGTGACTCTTTGAGCCATTTCGGCCTTGATTTGGTCAAAATCAAGGCCGTTTAAAATGTTTTTATTTCTACTGACAACACAGATCTTCACTGAACCCGAGGTTATTCATCACTCTTGTTCTCTCTAAACCTGCCACCCCCCCCCCCCCCCAGCAGGCATGTCCTACACAGGCATTATATATGCTTGCCTTCCAGTTTATCTATGGGTTTAGACATTTTTTCTGAAAATGCATGGTCACAAGGCAAAAATACTGAGCTGTTTTTGTTATGAAAATACAACTTTTTAGAGGTATGTGGATCCCGCAGCATACCGATCTAATCCCATAATGGTTTTATATGCCGATAATATGATTCATGACTATAGACCAAATGACCCAGCAGTAGGTGAAGAAGGTAAAATGCATCATGCCAGAATAATGTTTATCCAGAAACATCAAATATAATAGTAAAGCACTTTCGGGGACCATGTTCCTGCAGATTGAGTTATTTTAAATCTTTAAAAACATTTTCTCATACTACTTATATTCTTTTAATTAAGTTAGGTTTTGAATTTAGAAGAGTATTTTCAGTGTCATATAGTTTAAGCAAACAAAGAAACTAGGAAAGTGAAATCGGTTGACTTACTTTCCCCATTGAAATGTTTAACTTGATGTATTTTGGACAAAATGTTGACATTTTTCTTTCCCCAGGTCCTTGAGCTACACTACCGGGGACACCCGCAGAGGGACATTGTGGAGCTGCATGCTGAGGTCCAATTCTCCAACCTTCGCTTTTCCTCCACCACAGTGGACTTTGGGTGTGTGCTTAACTGCACGGGGAGTCGTAGAGAGATCTCAATTACCAACTCCTCCCCGCTGCCCGTGTCCTACCGTTGGGCTTTCCTGGAGGACCACAAACACTGTGCCATAAGGTATTTTTACACTGAGATGTCCACACAGGGCCATAGCAGTTTGAAGTTTGCATCAGTTTAAACAGCACATTCCTCTCCTGCTACACTTTAAATGATTCACCTCTAAAGTTACAACCATATGAAAGAATATAGCAAGGGAGGTCAAAAAAGTAAAGTTAGTAGTGAGGCGTGCTTGCTTACAGTACATGTTCTACTTTGAGTCCTATAGAGTGATGCAGGATCGAAACCTTAAACCTTAAATAAATAAGTTCCAACTTCGAGTTCCCTTCTTTTGAGGTTTACAGTTTTTGGTTCGACTCCTGAAATAAGTCATTACACTAAAGACGAGTCTGCTTGTAGCTTAGCATTGGTGACATGAAGTCACGTGAATTGCATGTCGTTAGTTTATAACCAAATGTTAGCTTTTTACTTGTGGCGATTGCATTAATTAATGCTAAAAGTCGTAAAAATGGTGTTAATATGTAGGGACTATAAGTATCATATACCTTTTTTTTTCCTAATGGTATCCAATGTTGAAATCCCATTGCTTCATGTTGAGGGACCCCTTGCCATGCTCAAATCTGGGTCAGCCTACAAAAACATGCTACTACTTCTAGACTTTATAAGAGGTATAGCAAAATGCAGTGCACTATGAGAACCTGGATGATGCCCTCATAGAACCCAGTCTCACTGCATTTCGTGTTATAGTCACGACATTTAATCTATTGATTCGTGTCCAACACCATTTTCCCCTTTCTTTCATGTCACACAGGACGATTTTAAAAGCAATGTATTTCTATTGGTAGTATGTTTCGTGCCTGCAACACGTCTTTTTGTCCAGTCGGGTCTTGGAAGACCGGAAGCTGTGGGGTTCATAAAAACATGCTCTTACTCAATATCAAGCCACGATTATTGTTTTTATTTTAAATTGTATAATATCAGACTTTTTTTGCCGTCTGTGAGGAAAAGAAATGGGGCTCAGAGCCTCAGAATAATGAAATCTGTATTTTTTAAATCTTTTTTTCCGTCTAATTTGTTATTCTTTTCTAAATAACACACTGTTATTTACTCACCAATAACACACAATTATCCTTGTTTTTATTTATTGGTTTGATTCCATAATCTCTGGCTTTTTTGGTGTCCGTCAGGAACTGAATTTCAAAATAAAAATAACCGGAAACAGACGTAGGCCTATATGGGACATTTCGAGCATCATTACGATACACTGCCACTGAACTGATTACCCAAGATCCTCAGCTATGGTTTAAGCTCGGTGATTGGATGTTTTAGCCGCAATGCACGTTGGGATATGGTGTTAATGCGATATGAAGTATGAAATCCGAAAAACATTTAGGAGTTTAGGATGGCCGAAGACACTACACTACCCATAATCCCCAGCTATCGTTTGGGACTACAGTCCCCGTGATTAATCTTCAAACTCTGGGATTGGATGTTGGAGTGGCAGTTGGCCAAGGTTACGCCGAGCGTCAAACAGCTCTTT